GATGATAGTAAAATACTAACCTATTCAGGAAAGGGACGATTATATAAACGAGCAGTGCTTGATCTGGCTGAGTGATTCAGTTTGGTGGGGGAAAGTTTCATTCTTAAATGAATTAACTTAGCCAGAATGATGTTTTGATTGATTTTCTGGTGGTAACTGATTTAAATTTGAAATTAATACTGCAATTTAAGTTTAGTCGCAGATCGGAAATCGGAAGCCCAATTGAAAGTTTTATTTTCCGTCCTCATTATACTTGAAAACTCGATTATTGCGATCTAGCTACGCGGGCGCATATTTTAATAGTGTCCTCCGTATTTGTTGTTCTTTGGAGATCACTGCTTAAAATATTTCACTCAACTGATCAAGGAAGCTTGGACAATCGTATCAAATTAGAGTATATTTGTCTTCTCGAGAAACTACTGATCAAATGCACAATACTCTGCGTGACTGATATATAATTCTGAGGAGTGAGTCAACTATGTGTCCAAGCCAAAGGGACCAGACAATTTGCACACTTATCTCGGACCTCTCCTCAGGTTTTCATGTTTCAATTGAGAACGGTAGCTGAACACATGAACCCCAAATTGTTTCCACATAAATGTACGTGAATTTAACGGGCTCATCTAACTTGAATTAGAAAGAAATAACGAACTCATAAAGAAAGTCTAAAAATGTTGAATGTGTACCCATTGAATAACTCATATCCACAATTATGTCGGTGAAAAAAGCGGTCACCGATACCCACATCCAGAAAGGTTTGTAAGTGAACTGCAACGGTCATCACACGAGAAAAACTGTATGGATAGTGATATGTGTAAAAATATGTTTTGCGTAAACTTGGAAATCAAATTAGCTGTTCTTACGATGAAAGCGAGCAACATGAGAATATAATGGTGCTTTTATTGGAACAGTATCCCCTAATACACCCACTCTCACACACACTGAATCATATTCGTCCAGCCGAGACTTCCGAGGTTGATGCAGTGTGACTTGTTCATCGTCGCACGTCTTTTTATCCTTCTAGCCCATGACCTTACAGAACTCAATTCCCTCGGCCCCTCCTTACGAATTGATAAGACTATCACACCGCATTTTGTCTTTCGAGTCCTAATCAGAAAAAGGCAACTGTTTGAAATGAAACCTTTCTTTGACAGTCACAATGACAAGTGGGAATTCGTAAGCGTATATAGCAAATGAAGCACGAACTGAAAAGCTAGGAAGCACTGGACAACTGTTTCGACCTGGTTGGATCCCACCAGCAGTGCAAATCCATCGACCCAACTGGAGATCGAACCCGGGACCTCATGGGCAGAACGCAAGCGTGTTACCCACTCGGCCACCGGGCAGCCGATCAGGCTGTTTTTCATTTTCCGTTTACACGATACAGCACAACCCATCTTTGCGAGATTGGTGTAGGCCACAGACCTCGCTGATCTTAGCACTAACCTCCGGGTTATGATTCGGTTGGAAACATTCACAACATTCACATTCATTTGGAATTGAATCAGATGCTCCATTACTCACCTGAAACAAGTAGTCAGGTTGTGAATGTTTCCAACCGAATCATAACTCAGAGGCTAGTGCTGAGATGAGCAGGGTCTGTGGCCAGCAACAAGCTTGCAAAAATGGGTTGTGCTATATCGTGTAAACGGAAAATGAAAAACAGCCTGATCGGCTGCCCGGTGGCCGAGTGGGTAACACGCTTGCGTTCTGCCCATGAGGTCCCGGGTTCGATCTCCAGTTGGGTCGATGGATTTGCACTGCTGGTGGGATCCAACCAGGTCGAAACAGTTGTCCAGTGCTTCCTAGCTTTTCAGTTCGTGCTTCATTTGCTATATACGCTTACGAATTCCCACTTGTCATTGTGACTGTCAAAGAAAGGTTTCATTTCAAACAGTT